TGAGTCTCATTTTTTAAAAAAATTTATTGTAAAAGTGAGGTACAGAGGGGTTACCCTGAGACTCGTATTGCCAATTAATCACAGAAAAAGCTGGAAGTAACCCTGTGGCTCAAGTGGTAGAGTTCTAGCCTTGAGCAAAAGAAGCCCAGGGACAGTGCCTAGACCCAGAGCTCATGCCCCAGGACTGGAAAACAAACCAAAGCAAAACAAAACAAGAAAACCAAACGAGAATTTCTCATGGTCTTCAGTAATTAGCAAATAGAATTCATTATGTAAAAAGAATTAGGCACCATGAGCAAATGAGATTTATTCTAGGGATAAAAGATGGTTTAAAATTCAAAACTCAATCAAGCCGTAATCTTACCAAAACATGGCATTATATTATATTATAAGCTAATGTGTTTTCATATATAATTCATACTAATATAATTTGTTAGGTGCTAAAGAAGAAAATTAGCATGATCACATCACTTGATAGTAATTTTAAAAAATTGACAAAATGTTATACTCATCCATAACAAAAACTCTCCAGAAAACCAAGACCAAGGGAAATTTCTGAACTTAATCAACAGGCTGATATGCTTAATTGTAAAAGACTGCATACTAACCAAGACTGTGTAAACGTCAAATTTTAAAATCTGATATTAATGAGAATTGTTCCAGAAAAAAATACCACTGGACAGGCTCAGAGGTTAAAAAAAAACTAACAAAACATGAACCAGATTTATATGATGAAAACTACAACACAGTGAATGAAAGAAATTGAAGACTGAAATAAAGACACAGATTTTGTTCACGGAGGACAAGTGTCAGCCTAACGAAGATGTCCGCTCTCTCCATACTGAGAGACCAGGTTTGACACCATTTCTCTCAAAACACTAGTACTGGGTCTTGAACTCAGGACCTGAGCACTATCCCTTAGCTTTTTTTTTTCTCAAAGTAGGTGTTGTACCACTTGAACCACACCTTAACATCTGGCTTTTTTCGGTAGTTAATTGAAGATTTAAAAACAATCTCACAGATTTTTTTCCTGCCCTGGCTGGCTTTGAACTGTGATGTTCTGATCTCAGCTTCCTGCGTAACTAGGATTACAGGAGTGAGCTACCCATGCTCGATGCTGGGTATTAATAGGGTACTATGTTATGTTATTTTTAATGTTACTAAGTATGTTAAATAACCTACTTATATAAAGCATAAGTATATATATATAACATAAATATAAAACATAAGTATATATGTATTAATAACATAAGTATATGTTACATATGTTATAAATGTTATAGATATGTTATAATATATAACAGTTATACGTTATAACAGATATGTTATAACATACATCTGTTATATATGTTATAACAAATATATGTTATATATGTTATAACATATAAGTATGTGTTATATATGCATATGTTACATATAGTTAAATGTTATATATAACATATATAACACATACCTATATGTTAAATATGTTATAACATATACTTATGTTATATATAAGTAGGTTATTTAACATACTTAATACATACCATAACATAGCTATGTTATTACTATCTTCAGATTTGTAAATTCTGTATTGTAAATTCTGTATGCTATATTGCTTTCAAACAATATTGTAAACACTATGAAATGATCATTCTAGACTTCTTGTTCATAATGATTTTACAGTTCTATTTTATTTAATAGTTGTTACATATCTATTTACATTTGACTTGACTTGCACCTGGTTAGTTTTAAGTGGTTTCCAGCCTTCCCTGGTTTGGATATAATTGTCTCTAGCATCTAATAGATACGATTGAATGGAAATTCCCTGATCGTTTATTTCTATTTATACGACTGGATCTGAGTATACTTCTGTATGCCTTTCCAGACTCTTCTGCCAACATTCTATTTGGCGTCTTGTGCATCTGTGTTCTTAGATGAGACTGGTGTCTGCTTTGCTGTTTTGTCTGTTCTTCTTCCTCCAGCTTTACTGATAAGTTTAGGTTTCGACCATGGCATTAATTGGTGAGTTAGTTACACGGTATTGAGGTAACATCACAACAACCTGTTCTGTACAGGATTCAGATATCATAGTCTGGTCATGGACATATTGAAAAGCCCTTTGAGCCTGTTGTTTATTTGTACATCTTGAAAACACTGAGTTACAAGCCTTTCTGATTTTTGTTGTTGTTGTTGTTGTTGGTCATGGGGCTTGAATTCTGGGCCTGGGCGCTGTCCCTCAGCTCTTCAGCTCAAGGTGAGTGCTCTACCACTTGAGCCACGGTGCCACTTCTGGCTTTTTCTGTTGATGTGGTGCTAAGGAATCGAACCCAGGGCCTCATGCATACGAGGCAAGCACTCTACCACTGAGCCACCTTCCCAGTCCTGTATAACTTTCTTATATATAGATATATAGATACAGTATATATTTGTATATTGTATGTTGTATATATTGTTTGTATTGTATATGTTGTATACTATTATATAGATTGTCTATATAGATATATCTAAAGATATAGGTCTATCTATCTATCTGTAGATAGATCTAGATATCTATCTATATAAAAATATAGATAGGTCCTACACTGTATAGATAGCTAGATCTACATATAGGTCTATATCTAGATCTCTATATAGATAGGCACATCTATAGATCTAGATCTAGGAAGATCTAGATCTATAGACACATATATAGATCTAGATCTACCAATATATAGATCCATATATAGTTAGACACATATATAGATCTATATACAGACCTATACATAGATCTAGCAGTCTATACAGTGTAGCAAAGCACAGTGGAGCTAAGCCTGTATACCCTTCCCTTGCCTGAGGTATTTGGACAAAGCACTCTGCAGCTAAGACAGCAAAGAAATGCTGGAAGCCCCCTATGAATCATCAGCATCGGAGTGAAGGGTGAATTGCTTTACACTGGTGTGGGGTGAGCCTCCCCGCTCCCATCCGCTGAGAGGATTCCGTCATGGTGGTCAGGCCTCAACGTGACCTCAATCCAACAGCCGGGTTTCTTTCTCCCGAGCTATTCTGCACAGGGCTCTGGTTCTCCAGTTCAATGGAAAGAAGTTGCATAAACAAAGTTGCATAACAAGGGGAGGAAGAGAAAGTCTGAAGACAGGGAAAGCTGATATGGCACACTCAACAGAGTCACATCCATGTTCATTGCTACACTATTTCCATTGCCAACAACCCAGATGACCTACAATGGATGAAGAGACCAAGAACATGTGATACAGATATATATCTATATTTATCTATCATCTATCTATCTATCTATATGTATATATGGACATATATAATGGAATTTAACTTATCTGTTAGGAGAATGATGTTACGTCATTGATAGGGACCTGGAAAGAAAAAAAAAGAATGTAAGTCAGGCACAGAGAGACAAACGGTGCACGTTTTCTCTCTACGTGGAAGCTAAATCTAAATTATTAAGCATCAGGCACAGAAATTGAGGGACCAAGGGTGAACAAATGCAGCTGTGGTCCTCAGTGGGGAAAAAGAGCTCTATAACTTGTGGGTGGGGAGGAGAGGGGAAAAATTGGGAGATAAGCACAAGGGAAGGAGAGACATGGTGCAAAAAAAGATGTACACTCATTACTTGACTTACGTAACTGTCACCTTACTGCGTATCACCTCTGCAATATCAATATAAAAAGTTATTCAGAGATCGTGGTTATGTATAATGATAGCCAGCAGAATACACCAACTTACAATTACACAACTCTCCATGTGTAAGGGGAAATGTGGCGACATTTCCTTTATCTCACTCAAAGCTTGTTGTTTTTTTAATCTGTGTCTTGAGGATGTCCGATCCACTTCTAAGTCGATGCTTGGGGATTATTTCAAAATCTCTCACAAAACATCTCGTGAGTAGAATTAGACCTTACTGTATGATGTCATGGTTTTATGGATTTAGGTAAATGTACCATGGATCAAGATTCTCATTCTAGGGGCTGGAAAGATGCTCTAGGATCTGAGATGAGCTCTCACTTGGTCCTTTAAAACTTTTCAGACTATAAATGGCTCTGTGCATTAAAAAAAAAACTTGTGATAAATATGGAGGAAAAGAACCTCAGCAGAGCTGGACACCAGTGGCTCACGCCTGTCATCCTAGCTACTCAGGAGGCTGAGATCTGTGGATTATGATTCTAAGCCAGCCAGGGCAGGAAAGTCCATGAGATTTTGATCTCCAACAAACCACAGAAAACTGGAAGTGGTGCTGTGGTTCAAGTGGTAGAGCGCTCACCTTGAGCTGAAGAGCTCAGGGACAGCGTCCAGGCCCAGTGTTCAAGCCCCACGATTGACTAAAAAGTAAAAAAGAATCTTAGCAGCAAGGAAGTCCAGTAGAAAACACAAATCTTCTTTCTGTCTGACATCCTCAACATTTAGAGGTCAGGAGATCCCAGGAAATTCAATTCCTAGAGGCCTGGGTCACTGAGCGGTGCCCGGAAGTGTCAGACATAGATCTGAGAGAAGGGGACAAAAAAAAAAAGGAAAAATAATTATCTCAGGAGACAGAAGAAGGTGGAGGAAAGCTGGAAGTGACCTTGCAATCTGGAACCTTCTGGTGTTGGTTTTCCTGAATGAGCAGACTGTGGCAGAAGGGGTACAAGGAGTGGGTAGACATCACACACCTGGTCATGAGCATACTGGAAACCAAAGGCATCTGTAATTCGATTCCCCCCTTTTCCTGGCTGTCCCCCATTGTGCTGAGAATCCAGTGGTAAGGAGATTCTACTACGTACCCATACCGGTCAGCCATCACTAATCTATGACAGATTGTGTTCCTTCAGGGACCAGATGTGCCCTTAGACCTTCCTGCTCAGACGCTCCAGGCAACTACTCTTGACTGGCCCACCTGGCCCTGTTGTCTAATAATATAACTCTCAATCTTCAAATACAAAAACTTCAGATTCTTTGTTGTGTCAATAATAATAATAATAATACTTACCAAAATCCTAATCCCCAGTGGGGGGTTTCTTTTTCTGTTGCAGGTTGATAGGACAGAGGTGATTCGGACCTGCATCAACCCAGTGTACTCCAAACTGTTTACTGTGGATTTCTACTTTGAAGAGGTTCAGCGTCTGCGGTTTGAAGTCCATGACATCAGCAGCAATCACAATGGGCTGAAGGAAGCTGATTTCTTAGGTGGCATGGAATGTACACTTGGCCAGGTGAGCCAACACACATTCCCTTCCTTCTCCTCCTCCTCCTCCTCCTCCTCCTCCCTTTTGCTTCCTTTCCCCACCTCGCCTCATCTTTGCTTTCTTCTTATTATTGATTTTATTCTTACTATTACTACTACTACTACTATTATTATTATTAATATTATTATTATTATTATTGTCGGTCGTGGTCCCTGAACTCTGGGCCTGGGCCCTGTCCCTTAGCTCTTCAGCTCAAGGCTAGTGCTCTACCACTTGAGCCACAGCGCGACTTCTGGCTTTTTTCTACTTATGTGGTGCTGAGGAATCGAACCCAGGGCCTCATGCATGCGAGGCAAGCACTCTACCACTGAGTCACCTTCCCCACCCTTGGTTTTATTTTCTTTTGCATGTAATATTTTACTACTCCCTGGATACTACCACATCTATTATATCAATCTGTGATGTGACTTCTTTGTTCCCAATTAATCATCTCTTCTGCGTGCCCTCGATTGGTCGGTCAACAACCATTAATTGGCTCATGGACTGTGTTTCTGGCTCTGGGTTCTGCACCTGTGTCAGCTACAACCTTGTCCTGAGTGGTTATTAAATTTCCATCCCCCAACTTAACAGGGAAGACACAGAGAGCATTTCTCTGAGTTATTCCAAGTCTCTGAGGTATGAAAAAAAATAGCCCAAGGAAGGGACAAATACTTGATGAGCAAATAATCTTCATACTAATGTAAAATATTTTTTGACTCAGGGAGCAAGCCGAATCAGAGAATACTGTTGTTATTTAAGAAAAAAAAAACTACAAAGGTAGTTAAATGCTAGGCATTGGGGGCTCACGTCTGTCATCTTAGCTACTCAGGAGGCTGAGATCTGAGGATCACAGTTCAAAGCCAGCCCTGGCAGGAAAGTCCCCATGAGACTCTTATCTCCAATAAATCACCAGAAAACTGGAAGTGGTGCTGTGGCTCAAGTGGTAGAGCGCTTACCTTGAGTAAAGAGAGGCTCAGGGACAGTACCTAGGTCCTGAGTTCAAGCCCCACAACTGACAAAAAAAAAAAAAGAAAGAAAAAAGAAAATGATTTCCAAACGTACAACTTTAGTCCTTCCCAAGCCTCACCTACAACTTTAGTCCTTCCCAAGCCTCACCTCTCCCAAACCCAATGGACTATTTTGTGCCAGCCTTAAATGGTAGCTGTCACAGAGAAAGTGGTTAGCCAAAACATTATTTTTCCCTGGCCTAGAGTACCTCAAGGCCTAGTTGAACTAAAGATGGAAGGCAGGTGGTTCTGCAGTTCATGAATAACAATGATTTTTAAGCCTGGTGAAGCCAGGGTACAAAAGAAGAGAAGGAGCACAGAGAGACTGGCATGGGGGTTGGGTTGGGGAGCAATGGGGGGTGGTAGGAGGGGATCAATGAAGGTCTTCCCGAGGAAAGCTGTATGTCTGCCAAATAGAGAAGAAAAAAGGAGGAAGCACAGGTTCCGAGCAGATGGGAACATTGTACATAGAGCATTCATCGGGTTCAGGAAGAGATCTGACATATGGTGCAGCCCAGCATCTTTGTTTGATTCCCCCCCCCCCCCCAGCCAACTCTGAGACAGGAAGGGAGACGTTGGGGAAAGAAACACCAGCATGATCTGGAAAAAGGGATCACAAGACAAGGAAGGCAGGATGTGACAGATGAACGGTGAAGTTGGCTACCCATGGGGGGGGGGAGCTTAATTCTATGGTGAGGGGAGAGTAGGATTCTGGAAGATTCTGGGTAGAGCAGACATCAGTTAACCTTATCTAGGGATGGAGACATTGGAGCATCTAGATAACTAGGGGCTAGAAATGTTCCCACTGCTTCTTTTTATTATTATTTTTATAGTAAAGATACTGTACAGAGGGGTTACAGTTACATGAGCAAGATGAGTCCATTTCCTCTTGAGTATTGTTACCCCTTCTTTTGTTTTCCCCTACCATCCCTTCCCTTCCCACCTCCCCAACTCCTTCCTTCCCCCGCCAAGATGTAAAGTTCATTTTCAACATAGTGTCTTGTACATCTCATCGTTACAATGGGTCAACCTGTATCCTTATTTAAGCATTTTGTTATATCCCTTCCCCTCCCCAAATTAGAAAAATGTATATACAAGATGCAGGGCACCGGAATAAAATATAGTGACAACAGGGGTTATACCATGGGGGAAGAACATACAAAAGAAACAAAAAAAATGGCATAGTGGGCTGGGAAGGTGGCTCAGTGGTAGAGTGCTTGCCTTGCATGCCTGAGGCCCTGGGTTCAATTCCTCAGCACCACATAAGCAAAAAGAAAAAAGCCGGAAGTGGCACTGTGGTTCAAGTGGTAGAGTGCTAGCCTTGAGCTGAAGAGCTGAGGGACAGCACCCAGGCCCAGAGTTCAGGCCCCACAACTAGACCCCCCAAAATGGCATAGTACACTATAAGTACATTATAAAAACAACAGCAAGAAAGATAAAAACTCTTATATGATCCTATGTACATAGCTTTTGGCCTTTTCTGCTTGTACTAAACTTATACTAGTTATTGTAAATAAGAGAAACCATGGGACCTATGTTTCTTTGGGCCTGGCTTACTTCACTTATAATTTCTTCCAAGTCTTTCCATTCCCTAACAAATAGGGCAAAGTCATTCTTTCTGATGGAGGCATAGAATTCCATTGTGTGTTGTGTGTGTGTGTGTGTGTGTGTGTGTGTGTGTGTGTCACATTTTCTTGATACATTCATCTACTGAGGGGCATCTGGGTTGGTTCCATAGCTTAACTATGGTGGATAATGCAGCGATAAACATGGTTGTGCTGGTAGCTTTGGTATAACCTTGTTTGTGATCATTTGGGCAAATGCCCAAAAGTGGGATTCTTGGGTCATAGGGCAGCTCAGTGTGTAGTCTTTTGAGGATCCTCCATACTGCCTTCCAAAGTCCCACCCCTTCTTGATAAAGATAAGAGCAAAGTTTCTCTAATGATCAGCAAACACTGACCAGAAAAGAAATACAAGTACTGGAGGGTAGAAGACAGTGGTGTACAGCTCAGGTTGTGGAGAACAGAAATGGGGGTGGCTTGGAGCAGCACTTATCTGTGGCCTAACTTATATCCCACTCAGACTGTCTTAGCAGTCAGACTCTGACAATGGTCATCATTTTCTATCCTAGGGCCATGTTGAAAACATCCCACTCTGCTTGTTTTCTTTCATGTGTAGGGGTTAGAGGTAAACTATAAACATAGATGAAAACATATACAGGGCCATATGCATACATACACACACAGGGAGAGAGACAGACACACAAACATATTGACTAAAATATGGTACAAGCAGGGTAGGATTCCGAGGGTGGAATTCCTTTGAACAACCAACTTCTAGTTTAACAGCAGTGGGGGTTGGGGGAAGGAAAGGACGGTGGGCAGGTGATGGAGAGAGAAAGGGTGAGCCAATACAAGTCATTCAAATTCAATGGACATGCTGCGCACCGGTGGCTTACGCCTGTCATCCTAGCCACTCAGGGGGCTGAGATCTGAGGATCACGGTTCAAAGCCAGCCCAGGCAGGAAAGTCCCTGAGACTCTTAAGTCCAGTGAACCACCAGAAAACCAGGAGTGGCGCTGTGGCTCAAGAGGTAGAGCGCTCGCCTTGAGCTGAAGAGCTCAGAGACAGCGCCCAGGCCCAGAGTTCAAGCCTTATCACCAATCCCCCCCGAAAAGCAATAGATAGATACATAGACAAAACAAAGGCAGAGAGGCAGGAAGGCAGGAAGGAAGAAAGGAAAACAATCTTCTCCCTAGCTCACAAGTAGACCTGAATACCCTCAGCCATCCCTAAACCTCTTATCCAAGATTGATTTAGGGGTTCAGGGATGTGCCTATGGCCAGTTTTAAACGGGCAATGTAAAGATTATGAAGACATGGTTACTCTCAGCCTGTGATCCTAGGACCACTGCAGCCGTCCGGCAAAGATGAGAGCCGAATGATGTGAGTCGGAGCTGCTCTATCTGTGGACTCTGTATTATGAGAAAATGAATGTCCTGCTGTGAAAACTATTTCACATGTGATTTTCCATTCCTGGAGCTAAAGACATCGTGATTGACATCTCAAATCGGCAGTGTTTATCAAACAAGAACCGGGCTGGCTGAAATAGGGCAAACCAAGTTCATGTTCTTAATCTGTCAAAGTAAGGAATTTGTAGGAGTGAACCCCACCCTCACCCCCACCCCCACCCAAAAAAAAGAGATTAAAAATAGGCCTTTCTAATTATGCTGGAATACTTTGGTTTCTTTCTTTCTTTCTTGTGCTGGTCCTGGGGTTTGAGCTCAGGTCCCTGGCGCTGTCCCTGAGCTTTTTCTCCTCTGGGTTAGTGCTCTACCACTTGAGCCACACAGCTTCATTTTCAGATTTTTTTTTTGGTGGTTATTTGGAGAAAAGCTTCTCACGGACCTGGCTTCTACCTGTGATTCTCAGATCTCAGCCTCCTGAGTAGTTAAGGGTTTTAGGCGTGAACCACTGGGGCCCAGCTAAAACAGGGGTTTAAAGTCAGATCTCTGAAATCATTCGGGGAGGTAATTTGGGCAAGTATTTTAATAGTTTTGTGTTGTTGTTGTTGTTTTTTGGTCATGGGACTTGAACTCTGGGCCTGGGCGCTGTCCCTCAGCTCCTCAGCTCAAGGCAAGTGCTCTACCACTTGAGCCATAGCACCATTTCTGTTTTTTCTAGTGGTTTATTGGAGATAAGAGTCGCATGGCCTTTCCTGCCCAGGCTGGCCTTGAACCGCAATCCTTAGATCTCAGCCTCCTGAGTAGCTAGGATGACAGGTGTGAGCCACCGTATCATATATATATATATATACATACACATACACACACATATGTGTGTATATATAAAATTTACTTTATTATTTTATAGAGATGATATACAGAGGGGTTATAGTTACACAGCTTAGGGGATGAGTACACTTCCTTTCATACAGTGTCATCTGTTCCCTCCTTCTTTCTCCCATCTTACCACAATGGAGG